CCGGGGAGGATGTCACGACCATAGATAAAGGTCTCAAAAATAATGGCGCTGAGCATGTCTGGGGGAGACCAGGCGAGATGGCAGGCCATTAGCAACTGGTGCAGGATGTTAGGTGAACCAGGCGCTTGCATCTGCACGCTGTGCTCCAGGAATTTTATTAACACATCCAGCGGCGAAAAGTTGCTACGCCAACATGAGTTAGACCCTGGTCATCAAGCTGCTGTTTGTGTCTTACATATAGATGCACTTTTGCCATCTTATGGCCATTTTTGGTATTGGATTTTCAAGTCAAATTTAGTCTTCCATCATTCATGCAATCTCTGATCCCATACCCCCACACCCTCCTGGCATGGCATGAAAATGCACACACACATGCACGTAATATAGAGTTTCTTGCCTGTGTCGAAAAAGTTCAGGCTCAGGATCGTTTTTTGGTTTAATCCCTGTTTAAAGTTGAGGATATAAAGCAGAGAAATGTGACCATTAAATGATTTTGGAAACCATGTAGATTTATTTACCTACAAGCCTGGTTAATTGTTTTTTCAACACATTTTATGATTGTTTTAAAGTCCTATGTTAGTGAAAACCATCCTCATCTCCTCTTCTCTGCCTCTCTCCAGCTGATAGCCATCTATGAGGAGCAGGAGCCCCATCATGGAGGCGACGGCACCAGCGCCAGCTCCACGGGGACGCAGAGTCCAGACCTGTTTGCCGCCGACCTCGGTGCTGGCAGCGGGACCTCCTCAGCTTTCCAGCCCTATCAGAACGCCAGCGAGATCGAAGTGACGCCTTCGGCCCTGCGCACCAGTAAGTCCCGTCACCAGAGGAGGAAAGACTGCTGGGAACAGAGGAGTGTGAGGCTACGATTAGCCATTACTTTTGGAATGATCATTTCTTTTCACCATATATTTTCTGTGTTGTCCTTATCGAGTTAAATGTCAAAAGCTACAGCTGTATCCGGCAAACCTAACAAATCACCTTCTAACCCCACACTGGAGCATTGTTCATAAATTCAAGTAATTGGACAGGCGGAGCCTTTTTTTGCAGGCGTAGTTAGCAGTTTGATCCCTGGCCAAAGTGGCTAATTCAATCCGAAGCCTCCTAAATCACATTTGTCACTGAGCGCGCTCACCTCCGTGGGCTTTCCAGCCAGGTCGCTGCTTTGGCTCTAATTACTGCGAGTGCCGACACAAAGCAGCCTTTTTTAGCTGACTCTTCTGTTTGGATCAAGGAAACGATTTTAAGGAGAAACATGAAGGCTCAAAAAGTCACATCCCTTTTTAAATCCCAGCAGTTAGCCTCACTGAGCAGCAGAGATTTCTTAATATTATAGATTTTTCTTTGTTATACCATTTTATCCCACCTGGAATTCCTACATCTACCAGTTGTTGTTTTCTCTAGGCTGGGGGATGTAGTATTTAAGGGACCTGAGAAGCATTGGAATTTTTATTTTGGTTTTGTGTCCTTCAGTTCAGCAACATTTTAGAAGTAGATATATAATTATAGTACAATAGCTGCACATTTTAATTAGAATATCAATCATCTTCCAGGCTCCTCATCAATGCAATCGCATATCTACTAGAAGGGTCATTGTATATTTTTTGGCTGTCTAGCAAACTCCAAGAAATCTCTGTATAAATATATGATCTAAAGGTCAGGATCTCTAACAGTGTTCTCAGAGCCTTTCTAACAGACCACAGCCCTCAGCATCACATGTTCTCCGCCGTGCTTTTCCACAGATTTATCTTTCATTTAATGCCAAGTCCCGTTTGCTAAACAGCTGAATCTTTTCCAAAGAACAGACTTGGTTTTTCCTTGTTTTATTATTACCAACCAACTAGTTGAGATAACGCTACCATCGATAGTTTGGTAGTGCGCCAAATGAACTCTTTACTTTGTGCTTAACAGACACACAAACTTGAGTCCTCATCTCCTTTTTCTCAGTTCTAGTTGTGTTTAACTTTAAAGTTAAGCAATGTATAGGAAATTCTGCTTAATTCTTCCAAGCACATTATTTATGTCATAAAAATATTATTTAAATCTGTAAATAGAGTGTTGATTAAACTTGGGTTTAAAGATCCTGTGTTTCTGTGGTTGTACCTGGAAGGGTGGCTGCCTTCAGTGTAATAAATATGGTTTAAACCATCAAATTCTCAAACTTTAAGAGCAACCCAGAACGTAGAAAGGAGGGAAATGGGACGATGGGGGGAAGAGGAGGAGATGCTAGAGGTGAGCCAGACTCTAAAGCCCTTTGGAGATGCATAGCTGTATTAGCTTGGTACTGACCAGGTATTAACCAAGAGAAGTGGGACGGAATCTGTAATACTCTTGTTATGCAGGCTGAAAAGAATCAGGTGGAGCATCGCAGTGGTCTGTCTGATTTGGAGTGTGGCTCATATGAGTAGGGCTTGAATAGTTGAATCAGGCTGAACATTGTCTCTTCCTTACACAGGACCAGGAGGCAGTAATGCTCCTACATGTGGGCGTGGTTTGCATGTCTCCACTGGACACGCCCCCAGTGTTTTAACATTTTTCGAGACCTAATTTCTAATGCTTAGGTGCTTTTAAGATACAAATTTGGCCCATATATATATATATATATATATATATATATATATATATATATATATATATATATATATATATATAATATAATATGTGAGGCAGGTCACTGCAGTTCTCTTTGCATTGCAGATGAGATGCTGAATGTGAGTTTTTTTTCAAAAAGAAAAGGAAATCTTTGGTTTAATTTCACCTGCCAGTTACATCCAATTTAGCCTCCTTGGTAATAAATTCCAACCCTGCCTAATTGACTACACAGAGTCTCCTCAGCTGAATTTTAATATGTGTTAAGCAAAATGTCTGACATGGAAGAGAGGGAATTTGATTAATTTTCTTTTCGCACGCGTTCCTAATGAGAACGGCTCAAAGTGACTGATTTATGCTGCAGGAGATGCTGTCACTGGACTTTGTGCTTTGTAGCCAGTTTTGCCTGTTTGGCCCAGATTTTCAGACAGCGCAGGAGACAGTCTCTGCAAATTGCAGTTTAAGGACAGTACCTCACTTTAACTTATGAACACTCATAAAGGAACATAAAAGTTTTAGTTTTACTGTGTTTCACTGCTTTGAGATCCCTTTAATACACTTTATTGAGATGTGAAGGAAATGCTGCAAAGGTTGTTGGTTGTAGTTCTGATGGTTTTATGTCCCAAAGTTTAATTTTAGCAGAAAAAGGTGTTTTCTATCCTTCAAAACCAATAAAATATCTTTCCTACATTGAAGAATAAATGGACTAAATTTATAGAGCACTTATCTACTTAAAAACGACCACTAAAAGTACTTTACTTTCACTCAGTCTCACTTGCTGCTGTATGCAGATTCACAGCCATACACAGGCAACCTGGGCTTAAGTACCTTGCCAAGGGGCACATCAGCATGTTCGGGTGATGAAATCAAACCTTAAACCTTCCGACTACAAGATGACTGCTCCACCCACACAGATATTGCTTTAATACACATTTGGATTTTATAACAGACCTATTAACAGCTGTGAGGCTATGGTTTAGTTTCCATACATCCTCTATGTGACCCGGCAGTGTCCAAAGACTATTTATGGGTAATTATTAAGTCTTATTCTCATTAGTGTACAGGTTATTGTTATCAAGCCAGGTCTTTGGGGTTCCATAAGCAAGAGTCAAAAAATAAAACCAGGAATCACGATATTTTGTTGCACATCTAATTTGACATATATCCTCTGAATTCCAACAAAAAACAGATTATGAATTGAAGTTATTCATAAAACCAAAAGGGTGCAATAACCTTGTGTGCAGGATCCTAAAATGAGCTTTTTTTAAAAATCACCTTTAGGTTAATTAATAATGTTCAGCCCTTTTTGGGTAAAGTGTGTCATCAGTCCACACCTTGTTCTTACATTTGCCCACTTTCCATTGAAAAAAATTCTCCGCATATTTATTTAGGGACACCAACCCAGGCGATTTCTGGGCTCCTTATCAATCCAGACCTCTATGCCCCGTTCACACTACCCTCTTAAACCAATGCGTGCCGAGTTTAAATCAGTTAACCATACTGAGCTTGGTTCCTTGCGACCATTTACACACCACGCACGGTTCCTCGCCTCCTAGTGACGATCTATGATACTACTGTTCTCTAGAGGTTAACAAGCAAATCAACATGGCGGTGCCTGTGACATTCAAGAAGTTTGTAGATAGTCTGGCATAGAAGGCAGCCTTTGGTGAATTTCCTTGGCAGTCGGCTTTTGGGAAGTGGAAACGACAAACAGTCTAATCAGGGCTTACAGACGCAGGAAACAATGTCAGACGTTGAGGTTCATGGCACTGCTAAGCAGAATCATCCCTGGAAATCGTGTTTCATGGTACGGAAGCTTGTATTTTTATGAATGTCTGAAATTTCATGATTATGGAGGCTGACTGTAAGGTGATGACGCGGTCTGCTCATGCGCTCTTTGTTATCTGAGAATTGAGCCAGAACTGAACCATGCCAAGCCATGCTGTTGTAGTACCATGTTAGCGCGGTACGGTTGTATCTGGCGCAGTCCGGTTCAGTTGTGCGTGCCATTTACACTCAACAGTTATCTCAATGGCTGTTGTATTTGAAAGGAAAATCATTTCCACTTTCATTTTCACTCCATGTTATTTTGAGACAAAGATATTTTTGTCACTGAATTAATTTTGTTCCCACGTTGAACAAAGTCAGTCTAGTTTTATTAAAATCTGTGTTTTTTCCTGTTATTGAGGGCTCTGCCATGATATTAACTGCTGCAGAGTTATGTTTGTACCCTTCTCCTTCTTATTTCTCTGTTCAGAAAGAGTCGTATGATCCTTTGGAACCTGTGTAAATCCTGGCTTTGGTTAAATGATGCAAATTGGTGAATGTCAGGAAAACCCCGACCTTGGTTCAGTTATTCAGAGCTATTAAATCTGACAGGTGGTGAAAGCTGAAATTAAAATGGAGAATGTATTAAAGGGTGTGGCTTTGCCAGATTCGACTTAATACAGCTGCTTAAAATAAACATTGAACCGTTTATTTGGTCCTAAATCATTTATTTATTTAAGTGGAATTTTTGACCAGATGTTACTTCTGTTGCATGAAGGCAGTCTGACCCCACTGCCTTCCTCTGCTTCGAGTGGGTCTGCTCTCACGCTCTGAGTGACCCAGCGACAGCGCTCTGACACAAAAACACACACAATCCCACACTAACGAGTTATTTCCAGCCATATTAGGGCCTTTTGTTGACTTCCATTTATTCCAGGGACTATATTTATGCCCAACCGTAACACTTAACCCAACCCCCGACCATTCCTGAGCCTGTCGTTGACCAAACTTACTCCCCAATGTAACTCTATCCGTAAAACGACCAGACTTTGACCTTTATAAGGAAACATTTTAGAAACATAGTAAATTTACCAGAACATGCTGTTATTAGTCAATATAAACACACAGATGTGCTGAATAAAGCTGCTCTCTTAAAGATGTCCAAACAAGTGTCTCCAGAAATTTGTGGATACATCTAGAAGTGGACAGTTGTGTAAACCCTCGCACAGACATGGTATTCTACCCGCACACATCGATGCAAACACACAACAAAAGCACAAAGTGTTGCAACGCAGGAACAGAGAGATGCTCAGACTCATCAGTTTATCAGAGTACAAGGAAATAAACAGCCAGGAGCACAAATACACAGATGGACTTGGTCAAAGCTGAATAACCGCTGACCCAGTAGATGCATCAGTGTTTCCTGTGTGAGCAGATTTCCAGTTAAACTTGGGAACTGGACATCTTGGCTACCGAAAGAAAACACTTTTATTCAAAATATTTTTGGTTTTTATAATCCGTGTCTTTGCTGTTCATGGGGTTGCTAACGTCTGAAGAGCAGCAGATTTTCGCTGTCGTAACACAGCGTTCTGTGTGCTGTCCATGTGGGGATAATTACTTGGACCTTGGCCCGCAGCCCACACTAAACAACTTTGAAACGCAGTGAAGAGATTTAATGGAAGCCCATCGCTGACGCCGGGTGCTGTTCCCACACATTCTGCTGCTCTGCTATGAGATAGACTGTTAAAAAAACAAATAAGAGGAATTTACCAAAGCATAAAGATGGTGGGATTCCTATCCTAATTATATAAATTAGAAATCCAAAAACACCCACCAGTATTAATCAGGCACAGCAATGATAGATTATTGAGCTAAATTCAGTCTGAGTGTCAGCAAAAACTCACATTTAATGACATTTTATTTATTTTCCAGATCTGGAAAAGATCTGAATTTCCGAACTTTTTGCATATCCACATTTTAAATAAGTTCCTCTATATTTAACACAGCTAATAGGACTGAACAATTTTGACAAAAAACAAAATAGTGATTATTTTCAACCAATATTGTCATTTTATTTTGATTCTGTGCACGTTTTACCTCAGGGTTTCAGTGTTTTCTGTCCCTTCAAAGCTTGCTTGTCAGGAGTCCATTGTTTCATAACTTTGCTGTAAGCTTTGTTTGGAAACAGGCTTGCTTCTGCATGCATGTAAAGAACTGCGTGCTAACTGGAAGCATCTTTACTTTTTTCATGGAAGCCGACCCACTATAGACATATTACAATCACTTATCGGGCTGGATTCGAAAAAATGTGTCTGTAGCGACTATCAACCACCTTTTTGTCGCTTGTGGGTGCGGGGAATCTGGAATTTAACGCGCTTAAAAGAGGATGTCGAAACCAGGATATAAGGTATGAGCGTTCCCATTTATTGAAGTACGTTTGTATATGAACAAACTTTCCAAACAATCCGAGTGGCGGTCTTTACAACAAGTGAGATGGACAGGTAACTATGGAGAATGTGAAAATAACAGAATTTAACCAGAGGACGCAGGCTATTGTGTGCCAAAGAAAGCGGTAAAAACCATATGACCTCCCGTCACCCAAAACCCTTTCTGCCCTCTCACGTCTTACCTATAAAGCCTTCCCCTCCACACCGCCACCAGTGGTAGAGCAGAATATAGGTCACCACCACCCAAAACAAATAACCCAGAAACAAACCATACCTAAACACCAACAACTATAAATGGCTCCTACAGTGTCTCTTAGTCTTAAGTGCTTCAGTGAGTTGAAAATTGCATTTTCTTAAATTATGATTATATTGCAATTGCAATGTATTGCCTAGACCAGAGCTCTTCAACGTTTTCCAGGCCAAGGACCCCAAGCTGATGGCGAGATGGAGCGGGGACCCCCTAATTATATATATTGTGTGAAATTGTGTTATATCAAACTGGTCGTATAGTCACTCTATTACAGATGGAGTAATGTAACAAAAGTAATTTCTTCCTGGGATTATTTAAGTATTTCTGATTCTGATTCCTTGTTGATGGGACAGGTGTTGTGAATGAAACGGTGCCCAGCTTGAAAGAGCTCCTGTGTGTCGCTGAATNATCCATCCATCCATCCATCCATCCATCCATCCATCCATCCATCCATCCATCCATCCATCCTTTTCACATCTTCGCATTAAATCATTGAATATAATATTATTGAATAATAATAATTGAACTTTATTAATCTTACACTGAAGAAATTCACTCTGCATTTAAGCCTTCCCCTTTGGAAGCAGTGGGCTGCCCAGAGCGCAGGCTATGGGGATCGAACTGGGTACTTACAACCTCCTCAAAGCACAATTTCACTGCTCTAACCACTAGGCCAACACTCCCCCTCCAATTACATCCCAATTTGGATGTATCGATTACTTCCATGGCTGCATAAAGTCTAGTTGGGGAAAAATCTGACTTGCCTGCACACAGAGTTCTGACATTAATCCCCTTTAGGTTTAATTTTTAGACTAAAGGGATAGAAAAAAAAATGAAGACTAAGCAAAGAATTAAGACAAGTAGGCGATGTTGATTCAGGTCCCTGTATGATGTTCAAATATGGATTAAAGTGTCAGGAAATGAGGTATCAAATACAGGTTTAACACCTTATTTATGTGCCGTTTCTCAGATATGCCTCTCCACGTCCGGCGCAGCAGCGACCCCGCCCTGATCACCATCAACGGGCCGTTCAGCACCTTGGAATCACGAGTCCAAGCTGAAGAGACTCCATCCAGAAAGAACCCGACTCGCTGGTCCACCACTGCAGGCTTCCTGAAGGCTCGCCATTACTCAGGCACAAGCAGCCTGGAGAGAAAGGTGGGCAAAAAAAAAGAGGCATTTTAACTTCTCTAGTTAAAGCTTCTGTAATTAATTAAACTATATGAATTATAAACAAATGTTTTGCTTTGGATAAACTACCTTATTATAAAACACAGCTTTTGCCTTTGAAATAAAAACCTTGTTTCTGCACAGAGCAAAGGTTTAGACACGTACCGCAGCTTGCCGCGGGATGCTGGGACCTGGTCGAATCAGCGTGAGTTTCAGAGAGACACGGCCAGGTCATCGCTCAGTGCCAATCACCCCATGGTGGACCGCTGGCTGGAAAAACAAGAGCAGGTATGTGTGACTTAACACAGTCAGACACACACAAAGAAAAACTAGAAAAGAAATAACCCTAATCCCTGTTCTCAGATCCTCTCATTTTATGGAGAATGAGTAAATTCTCTGAATCCTATAGTACCTTTTTACTAAAATCAGTGTCGACAAAATCCATGGTGTCCCGGCTAGTATTACATGAACCTTTCAGCTAATGCTAAATAACGATGTACACATGTACCGATTCAGTAGGATTTAAAATGGACCGTTGATGACAGAATATGTTGGATAACTGGTCATGATCATCATTAAAGAAGTTTTTATAGTTCCCTGCTCTGGAACTTACAGCAATTTCAGAATTTACCGCCTGAAAATCTGGAAAAAGGTTATAAAACTGTTCCAAAGAAAAACAATATAATTCTGAAGACAGGAAATTTAAGTGGAGATGTTTTGTTGGGATACGGAGAGACAAATTTCATATCGGCTGTGAAGGCCTCATCAACACAGCGGCCTGCATGTGTTGATGTGAAGTTTTATATGGATTGTTTCTAATGAGCTCAGAAATACTTAGTTCTGTTTAAAACGACTTCAGTAGAGAAAGTTATTTAGTGATTACGTTGCAGTCTGCCCACACAGTCATAAACAAACCACTGCTTCAGGTTTTCACACATTTTGTTTTTTTGTTGCGCCAACACCTCTGCTGTGTCATTTATGAATTATGAATTACTTTCATAAAGAAGGTAAGTCTTTGAAATAGCTTAGAGATTCATTTTGGCATGCCTGCTGATGTATCCATTGAGGCATTTTGTGAAGCTGCTGTTTTTCTTGCTGCCTAAGATGATATTTCCCGCAGCGAGTTTAGCTCCACAACAAGTTTCCTGCATCTCTCTGAAGCGTTCTTCTCATGAGTTCTTCATCACGTTTCACTGTTATGGGGGTTAAATGGTGCGGCGCACTGCAGGATTGTGTCGTTAGGATTAATAGTCATCTGAAGTCTGTCTTACTTCCTCCTCCAAAGCATCCACATTTTGACCGGCTCCTAACAGCTTCCCATCCCTTTGACAATCCTTCACTTGAGCACTTAGAATAATATTTGTGTGTGGGTGTGTTTAGTGAATGCTTTTTCTCTGTGTGAGGGTTCGAATCAGCTTGATGACAAGAGTTTACATGGAGTGAGCAGCGATATACTTGATGTATAGTTTCCCTCGGTCAAAAAAAAATCTGCAGAATTTTCTCTTCTACCCTCGGGTTCTTTTCATCTGCAGAAACGTGCTCTAGATAAAATAGTCTATCTGTCACAAGCGAATAATTTGGAAAATGCATATAGACTTACTGCTCATGGCAGAAAGTGGCAGAAAAACTGCTTCAAACTTCTACAAAATAATGAGAGTCAGGAAATATTCCTTAAATATATCTTTAAATAGAGAACAAATAAGGAGCTCTCTGGGATTATGATATCGGTCCCTTTTTTTTTAGAGTGACTGGGTTGCTTGGGGTTCCTTTAAAGCTGCATAATTTATCTATAAAATATCTCCATTTCAATATAAATGTGTAAATATTAATATTAGAGGGGACCGTTGGAAATGCAATATCCGTTATTAGATTCCAGGTGTCATTAATTCAGTCAGGTGCACATAACTTGGAGCCATTTGGATGGAGTTTTTCTGCAGTAGTTTTTGACATGGACAATAATGTGATTGAAATATGGTTCAAAATAGATTAAAACAGAAGAATATTCAAAATAAAAGAGTTGTTTTTGGCTTTAAATGGGTCCCTTCTATCTAACTGTCAGACAAATAAGGCTCTGTTACATATTTGATAATTAAGCTTGAATGAAATAAAAAATATATCCAACAAACACAGATGATGGATTCATCTTATGATGTAAAAATGCTTCTTTGGGTAATCACCTTACTGGTCTGCATATCTTATCTTCCTCTCAGTATCAGCTCTATTTGATATTTTTTTTATTGCTTCAACTAAAGACTTGAGCAGATCGTCCCTTTGATGCTGATTAAAAAGAGCCCAACTGTTCAATTCATCATTTTAACTGAAACTCCCATGCATGTTTCAGTTTTAGAGACTTTTTTAATTCCTTGACAAGTCAAACTTGTGAGTTACCGTAATTCTCAGGAAACAAGTTAGAAGGTCTTCAGGAAGCCTGAAGACCTGGAATCATAAATAAATTCTGGCTTCTTGGAAGCTAAATGTAAAGATTGATATCTGAGGACATTTTACACGGTATGTATATGATATTAAATTGGGTTTTGGATTACAGCTCCTCCAGCTGCCTAGTCTCCTAGCCTCGGCTCTGCTGTAAGTGTTTAACGTCTCTCTGATTGAGAAGCTCTCTTTGTTCCAGGAAGGATGCTGCAGCACCTCTGCATGACGAGAACCGTGCTGCTGATCCAGATTGATCACATTATAGAACTGAAGTCCCATCTGTTAGCGGATTTATGTGTAATTCTTAAGAATAGTATTCTATATAAAATAACACTATAATAACAATGTGGAATTTCTTTTTACTACAAGTTAGAAATAATAATTGATTGGAATCACAGTTAATCAAGTTAAGATCTAATTTAAATGACTGCATAAAACAAACAAAAGTGAGAGAAAACACCTAGGATGCAGCAGTAATTCTACTTTACTACAGATTAAGGAACTTTGTTTTGATTCACTTCAACTCAGTTTATTTATATAGCACCACTTCACATTATGTCATCTCAAGGCACTTTACAATTCAACCAGATCATCCAGTCAAATTGGTTCAAAGTTTTCTGTCTAAGGAAAACCAGCTGATTGCATCAAATCATTGACTCAAAGGCAATCCCTCACACTAAGCATGCTTGTAGCGACAGTGGAGAGG